AGCTCATTTTTGGTTCATTTGATCCCACATAACCATTATATTATACCTCTAACTAAAATAAATTAAAGCATTTTACGAAAAGAAACCGAACCATGAATTTTACCTGCTACCAAATCCAAACACAATTTCTTCCTCTCACCATTTTTCTTCCCAAACCCAATATCAACTTTTACTCCAAGTTCACACCCCAACTCCTAGTGTGTTGCGTGAAAGCTTAATTTTAGCAATAATTATTCTTGCAATTAGATTAATGGACACTAGCAAACCAAAAATTCCCCCAGACGATGAGTGGTCTTCACTTTGAGTTTTGTCATAAAATTGTTGGCTTGATATGTTTATCAATTTGGAGGCCATATGATGAGCAATACTGAATCAGTTACAACGAAGTTATCGGTCACAGTAATGACAATGTGAAACATGTGTTAACAAACGCGAATATGAGTTACTTTTATGGATTGACATTAGAATGACGGGACAAACCGTTAAAATTCTAAATTATTTGGGTGAGTTTGTATTTATTGTTTTCAAAATCGTGGTATATGAGTTAGGTGATTAAAATATCTAAACCCAAACGAACCGACCCACGTACACCCCTATGAAGAGTTTCAAAACTTAGTATTTAATCGGACAAAACTGTTCAGAGAACCAGTCCCCTATAGTTTGCACAAAGATATGATTGTTTCACTATAGTTCTGGAAATCAATGGTAATTTAAGAATTCTATATCGCTTCTACATATTCAATACTATAATTCGATATGAAATATTCGAACCAACAATATTTTGATTTCAAATTTATGGTTATCGTCTATTTATAAGATAGATAAAATTTTAAATTAAGTACTATACTATAATTAAAATTAAAAATATCAAAATCGAAATATCAAAACACCAAATAAGTACTTACAAAATATTTATTGGTCTAGCTAACTGTTGAAAAGTTTTGTGATTTCATATTTTAGCTTTGTATATATTTTTAATTTAAAAAAATACAAAAAATCTACATAGTCTGATTGATTTTAAACCTTCACTTTGTTTGAAGTGACCATGGTTCAAATCTCAATATGTCTATCTTTTTATGTAAGTAAATGAAAAATACATATAATTGTGAAGACAAAAATTTCCTTCCTAATTTCCCTCTCATTGCAGGAAATTTGAAAAATGAGATTAAGTTTCAAATAATTAAATCATATACCCTAAATCTATAGAACTTAACCCTAATATCACATATACTAAGAACATAATCAATGATCCTGATTCGCCAAGATGTATACAACATACCATAAGCACTATATTAGGATTTAGAGAATTATGATATAGGGTTTAGTTACGTGATTAATCTATGGTCTAGATATATTTAACTAAGGAGATGCAATAACCCTCAATCCATCGAGCGTACCATAGAATTTCCAATGTATATACACATACCATTGTTTGTTAAATTTAACCAATGATAATTGGCTCATTTGTCAATGATATTTAGCCTTTCAATTCTATACTTATAATTGTCAACCATTAGGGAAATTGTTAGCCAATGATTTTTGGTCATTCACTTATAGCATTGAAAATGTCTCGTTACAAAACCATAGATCACAAATGTCAAATTTTACGTTTTGAAATAAAATTTTGTATAGCACTTTTGTAAACAATCCTTGTATTCCTACAAACTACAAAGTCATGTAACCTAATAAATGTAAAAGTTGTAAGACATACATAAACTCAAAATGTATTGTTTGATTCTTGGTGAAGAATTGTGTGATTAGAGAAACTCACTTAGTTGATTCATAAAGCTAGGTATATCATGATGATTCACTTTGTAATAATTACACTTATTAATTAATTCGATGATTGATTGTTGCGGTGGATAGTCCTATAATTTTGAGATATTTCAGTATTTTCTCTTTAATTCAAAAAATACATAAACATTGCTGTTGTCCAGTTGGTTAGGGATATTGACTATCAATTTGAAGGACTCGAGTTCAAGTCTTTGTAATGACATTTTTTTCACTCGTAAGAAGATATTTAAGTTCTAAGTTGAACTTACAAATTTACCCCTAGCTACAATTAAGGAGAGTGCAAGGAATTTGAAATGCTCAAAATCTCCCGAAGAACGGCTATATATTATATATATTATAGAGGGATGCATGGTTAGAAGTCGAATAGCAATTTGAAATAAGATTTATATTATTTGGGTATGTTTTTGTTTTGAGTTTGTGGGCAGAAGATGGACCAACTAGAGGAAGTTTCTCCCTCGCTAGAAGGTTTTAAAAACATGAAACAAAATTCCCATTGTTGAAGACTTTTAACGGCAAAACCTGCTATGACGGGAGGATTCCTATCATCATTAACTTTTAACGACCGTTTTCTATCCTCGTTATAGCTACTTTTTCTTGTAGTGAAATGATACAAAGCATGCCACTGAATAGGTATAATTTATGTGTCATTATCATGCGAGGTATCTTAGTGTATACCCACTCGTTGTCGATCCATCAAGGATGACATCATCCAAGTGGTACCAACGTGGATAGACATCGTCCGAATATATCAAGCATGCCATCATCCCAGAGGGTCAAGCATGATACCATCAAAAGAGGGTTAGTGCCCATTAAACATGACATTGTGCAAGAGGGTTTGGTGTGTGTATTCCCTTGTGAAAACCCTATAAGCATGACATCACCCTAAAGAGCATCTATTAACTTCTTAATGTCGACTCTCAAGCACTGAGGTGTCAAACATCAAATCATCCAAGGGAGGTAGACACGTTACGACCAAGAAGTCAAGTATGATAGGCCCCATGGGTATCAAACATTATACCTACTCGGTAAGGCCATCTAGACTCTAAGTGTTAGACATACACACCCTCACTTGGTAGACACACCTCATCCGGCGTGCCACACCCTCATACCACATCGCATACCCCCCATCGTGCAACCCCTCGAATGGGATTGATGCTCATCTACCAAGCACATAGATGTCAATCAGGACGTCATGCAAGGGAGGTCGACATGGATATTACTAAAAAACCAAGCATCATGGTACTTGGGGCTTTTGAGTCGTCACTATTACGAGATGGGGGATATATTTAGCATGACGAGCCCTCTTAGCATGTTGCTTCTCACTTGTCAAGCATGATATACCATCTGGGTGTTGGGCTGAGATACCCATCTAAGTATCCATCATGTCATATCTCATCAAGCATCCAAGACACAAGCACACCTAATAGGGTACCGAGACAAGCAGTCAAGAAAGACAGATCCATAGCACATGAGGCTACCTATGAAGTAAATACTTCAAGTTGTCATGATATCAAGTGGTCTACATTAAAGCAAGGGGTCGAGGCTTCAAGAAATCTACATCAAAAACTAGGCAGCAGAGTGGTGGTTCGAAAGACATGTACACATGATGGCTATAAATAACAGAATCGAAGATGAAGCAAAGGTTTTCAAAACCAACACTCTGACAAATATGTCAAGTTCTACCTATTTTTTGCAAATTAAGCATAGATAGTTTTTGGAGCTCTCATTAAACCTCTATAAAATTATTGAACTTCTATTTAAATCCTTAAATTTTTAAAATTTTCGCCCTAAACTTACCGATACGAACGATTATGCCCCCAACTTCTCACTAATCCCTAACCAATTTGTCGCCCTAAAAATTCCACGCGTTGCTGCTCGGTGCACCCTGTCACCGTCGTCCAGTCTGCTGCCGCACGTATTATCCGACTAGTGGAAGAGATGGTCTATTTGAGCATCTCGAGACGACCACCTCCTGCTCTCCTCTCTACTCATTCTCTCTATTATCGAATTTGGGGTCGATGTCAACTACTGCTTGTAGCTCTACTCAGGAGTCAACGACGATGGTCGTTCATGGATATCGTTCTTTGGAATTTCTCTAGATAATCGCCTCTGTTATGCCACTCTTGTTATAGCCAAATTGGTCATCGAGGAGGGAGCAAAGCGTTGGAAGATCAATTTTGCAGGTAGGATGACAATGAGGCGGGTTTTCCTAAACCATTCTCGCTTTCAAATATCTAAACTTGTACCCACCTCATACACATGTGGGGTAAGGTTTTACAAACCCATCCCCATATTCGTGGGTTTAGGGTACCCATGGTAATATCCACCCTGACCCGTACATCCAATATGATTATACCTAAGACTTTACATGTAAATTTTCAATTATAACACTAAACAGACCTACAATATCATTAAGTCAACAAAGATATAATCATTCTTAATACGATTCAAATCGTATGAACCTAAAATATATATTAATCAATAAGATAGAGTATAATATTTTCCAAATCATTAGTTTCTAACTCTTATACATCTACTAAGTAATACTTAACTAACATAATTATCCTATTAACAAGAGGAAAATGTGAAAGAATGAAGGGTGAATTGACGTAAAAGAATTATTGCATTTCTACTATAAGTTACCTTCACTGTCATTGATAAATTGCAATTTGATCCATGTATTTGTTGTATGTGAAGAAATATTCTTGGTTGAGCGGGGGAGGCTAAAACCATACATGCCCTATACCCATCAAACTTTTTGCGGATTTTACTCATACCCAGTCAGTGCGGAGATTCCCCTCGAATCACGTTGATTGAATTAAGGGCGATTGGATATACGCAGCCGTTGGTTTGATTGTCATCCCTAATTGCGGGTCAGTTTCTTCCCAAATCAGTAATCCACCATTCATCTTATGCTATTTCAGTTCCTGATGTCGAGCACTTATGATTCGGTCTTCAAGGGTAGACCCAGGCATTAAAGGGAGAATCTCATGTTCCTTCGCGGACAAGAAATTGGGATTCAAATTTCAAGCTATGGGGCTTGGCAAATACAGCAGTGGCACGACTGCAAGAGGTTATAATATAGCTGTCTCATCCTCGCTCCTCAGTAACAGACATTAATCAAGGAGGGAGAAGCAAAATGCAAGATTAGGAAACATTGTGATCTCTTATATATAGAGAGAAAATTATGATTAAGAGTTAGCTATTTAAACTTATATACATCATAATTGCTCGAATTACAATCTAGTCCATCTCTGTACGTAAATTAAAACCCTCTGACGCACTCCGAAAAAGTTACAACATAATATAGTCTCTAAAATCTCAAATCATTATACAAACGTGTCTTTTTTTTTTCTTCGTAGAACTGGATCGAGACAATTTAAGGAATTGGAGTAGTCATCAGCTCCGATTTAATTAATTGATTCGACTCTAAACAGTTGCCAGGCCAAATCGATGATCAAGCCAAACTAAGATCCTTGAGACGTAGCATCAATTCAATTAGCTTACCTACAAAATATTTACGAGGAAATGAGCATATATATCACATGACCAAATCTCTTCTGGGCTACTAGTTCTTTTTGTTAACTTTTTGTTTTCTACCCTTCTGTCGCCCGGCTCATCCCTCCTTCAATCGCCGGAGCTGTCGTCGCAGCATATCTCCTGTTCTTCTCCATGTTCCCGTACCATCCTAATCATCAATAAAAACAATCGATGACAACAACAGGAACGTATTAATATAATATAGCGGGCCTTTGTGAGTTGGTTTTCGTTTGAATGCGATCGAGCGTGTATGAAAATAATTAGGACTCACGTATGAATATGTCCCAACAACTCGAATTATTGGGACCAACTAAACACAAACTTTAGATAAGAGAGAGAATTAGGGATATAGTGAGTGCTGACCGATGGACAAATCGAAGCCTTTGTTCTGTAGCTCGCGGTACTCTTGGCAGAGAGCACAACCCTCGCAGAACAAGTGGACGAGGCAATCTGGGCAGGGAGACTCTTCCAAGAACAGCTGGCCTCTCATTTTGGAGCGATAGAAGCAAGACAAAATGCAGGCGCACCCGAACATCCACAGCATCAATGCGTACACCGTCCCGCTCAACCCACATGCTGCAACCAATTAATATCCATGCACATGCACGTACATTCGTCATTGTTAAATACACAAACAATACGAGAGTTTAATTGAGTACGGGTATTAAATTTGTTATATGGGCTTCATATATGTTTAGTACGGGAACGAACGGTGTAATAAAATAGTTTGGCATATGACAATGAGTACGAAAATGGAAGTTTTCAACACATAAAATACGTACGCGTATTAACGAAATATTTACTAGCTATTCTTTCACATGCAAATACCAAGTGGTAATTTGGGATATGTAACATCCACCACATCCACTCCCCAACCTATGTTCAAACCTTGGCTAACAAGCAACGAAAAAGATCACCTAAATTTAATACTAATTTGTAGGGATGGCAATGGGTCGGGTGAGGATAGTGCATATCCGTTACCCTACCCAAAATAGTTCGGGTTTTACCCATACCCATACCCATATAAGATACGGGTAGAATAGTTTCTCATTATAACTCCAACCAATATGTTAATATTCACACGTATTCTCACGATATGTAAGACGAAAAGTACAATAATAATTCACTAGAATGAAGAAAATTAATTAAAGCAAAACAATTTCATAAAAATATTATATTTATATGCTAAATATAAAATATGTTAGAGAAAAATATTGATTATTTCTAGACAAAAATACATATGCTTGTGTAAAATCGGGCGGGTTCGGGTTGGATAGTGAGAAAACCATGCCCATCCATTACTCGCAATATTCGGATTCTGATTTTACCCCTACCCACTCAAAGTTGTTTGGATTTTACTCTACCCGATTAGATCGGATTCAGACGAATATCCACGATTACTGATATTTTTGTCATAAGTAAAACTATTATTTCAACCTCTGCAAACCGCGATCTTTTTTTTTTCTCGCACAATTTATCCTTAATTCAAACAAATTTGGACTTACATGTTTGTCCTCGGTCAACTATCTCGGCGATCCGCCCGAATGCAACGCATGGACACCATGCCGTCAAGCAACCTGTTCCACGATAGAGTTATATCGTACAAAGTAAAACCAATCGGCCGTAGGTTAAATTTGGACAAACAAGAAGAAGAATATGTATGTATGTATGTAAGTAAAGATCAATTAATAATGAGGAGGGGACTTACAAGAAGAACAATCGTCAAAACAATCGCAGAGGCCAGTGGACCACGGCATAGGAGAAGCGTGATTGTGTGGGTTGACGGGGACGGCGGCGCCCGGAGGAGGAGGAGCGAGGTGGAGCCGGCCGTTTACTTGGTCCGGAGGGACACCTTGGAACATGGGCGACGGCGGCGCTGCCGCGTTTGGCGGTGGTGGGGTGGTTGCATTTTCATGCATCTTCGTCGATCGGCTGTGTCGCTCTTCCTTTCGATCACAGCCAAAATCAAGGGGCTAAGATACCAAAAAAAAAGAAGGTGGAATTGGTGGGTAATAAAAAAAAAGAAAAGGAACGAAGATGAAGATAAGAAGAATCGGCTCAGCCACTCATGAAAATGAAGGGGGTATTATCTATTGAAAGAGTTGGGTGGTTGTGAGCGGTTGAACAAGAATTGATTTGTTCACTATATATGGCATGGCCTTGTCAACGCAGTTACAATATATCATTGGCTCGGTCGATAAAGTGGGTTAGGAGTTAGTTGTTGAATCAATTTAGTCTGTTTAACTCAAATATGTGAAAAAAAGTAGTTAAAAAAGGTGGTCATACTTGAATATAGCACATTTAACATCAACATCAGAACATATACACTTGAATCCAACATATGTTGAACATAACTAACATTAAAATCCAACATATAAATAACATCAACATTCCACTATCCGAATTTAAAATATAAAACACAAAGTACTTAATATTTCCAAAGATAAAGTCAATATTCACGATATCTTTCTTTTCTTTTTTTTGTGAGAATATTCACGATATCTATTACATCAAAGATAAAGGAACTCTCTCCGTTAAAAAAAAGAAAGATAAAGGAACTCTCTTGTGCGCAAGGCATAAGCACAACTCAATATATGTAGTGTAGTAGTGAGCCCCATTTATTTTTCTAGTTAACTTTGAACGTGCTTAATTGACTATTAAATTGTTTTCAAAAAGATTTGATTATTATTTTTTTTATAATGAAAAATTTGGCTATTATATATTTAACATATATATTATTATAATAAGTGAGAGCAGAACCAATAAAGATCTAAAAAAAAATTAGTGGGGGACAATCACGTTTGCTCCGTTGATATTTTTGGTTTTATTAGTTGTGCTCTTGCGTCCATGTCTGTTGGGATTATGGAATTTGTTTTCAGTTGCGGACAAGATCGAGTTTTCCTTTTGACCGAAGGATGAGTATTTTGAGGCAGTGTTCCTTTGCATAAGTGCCCTATAAAAAAGTAATAGATAGATGTTTTTGGTGAAAGACGATAGATCGATTGCGTTTAATTACTTTGAGGCAGGGTTCGGGGTTGCAGAGCTTGGTGGCGGTTGTGAGAAGGAAGGAAGGAAGGAAGGATCGGAGAAGGTAATTAGCGAGCAGTTGCAATTATTGTGCGATAATGTCGTCGTCACTGTTCCTGGCCAGCAGCATCCTAGTATTCGTTGCTGGGACACGGGATTATCAGCCGGTCACACCTCCAGAAAGGGAATTGGGCGCCGGCAACTGGGGATCACTCTACGATCACTGGCTTTACCCGAGGACGAACCCCTGTACCGCAGGTTTCGCCGGCGGTGCTTCAGGTAAATTGGTTTCATTTAATTTTGTTATCCGGCCAATTAATTAATGCATGCGTTATGCGTACCCAGTGGCGTAGCCAGTATTTTATGTAAGGTGGGTCCGAATATTTTTTAATATTCACGTGGTTCATTGAAAATTTTCTTTCAACACTTCCAGTGTAGCCTTAGTTCGAGTCTAAAACCTGATTTATTGAATTCATTATTAGGATATAAGGATCTAGTGAGTTTCAATAAAATGAGGCTTTGGCGATAGATAATGAATAAATTAAGGATAGATAATGGATAAATTAAGGATTTGAAGCTTGGAGGATGAAGTTATATTTTGTGCTAATATTATTTATGTAGAAACTAAAATGTATTATATATAATGATGATAGCTAAATTCATGATATAATTATTGTTTGATGGTAGAAATATTGATCAATATTGATGAATTTTAGGTGAAAAATCTCATTGTCACTTAATTATTGTATTAAGGAGTGAAAAATCATAGCGTACAGGTGGTTCGATAAGAAAAATCTCATGCTGGAAGCGAAATTGATAGAAGATATTAGCGATATGAAATGGTTGAACCATGATTAAACCACATTTTCAGCATAAAATATCCTACCATTGACTTGTCCGGTACAACCTTCTACCACAATTAACCTAGACGTATATATTTTCTCCTGAGCCAAGGTGGATCCCGGGACCCACCTTGTTATGCACTGCCTCCGCCACTGTGTGTACCCCATCCATCCATCCTTCTTCTTTCGGTCAGGTCATTGTCCTGATAATTACTAACTGGGGCAACGTGACATACTAATTTGGTCTCAATAACTCGATTGCGTTTGCAGATTCTGGCTACAGAAAGTGCGAGCGAACTTCTCTCGCAAGTTGGGGTGTAGACGACAGAGCGGCTAATGGTATGAAAACTGAATAAGAATTCTGCTTTAGTTGGTAGATCCGCTGCTAGCTCCTTTTGAGTATTACTTTACTTATCATCATGGCCCTTACTTATTTCTTGTATGCAGTTGCTATTTCCCCTGAACCTGTGTTAACATCCAGCGATCCAGGCTATGCTGAGTGGGTGCAGGGGCAATATAATGAGTCCATTGGATATTGCCACTACTTAAGGTGCACAATGTACGAGGCCTGTAATTAAGAATCAATAGATGGTACAACAGAACGTTATTAGCATGTAATCCATTTTTCACATCATCTTAATGTTTATTTTATTTTTTTCATTATTTTTTTTCTTATTAATTAGATAAGGGAAACAATAAAATATTTTGATTTTTTTTTGTTTTGTTTTGTGCTGACATGGTGGTAATGACCTGAGCGTTTTACTAACAGTCAACGGTTTTGATTGTCTAAATTGACAGTCAAATCATAGGTCGGGCCAATTGGGTCTATATGATGTATAGTTGAGGCCAGGGTGAGAATTTCTAAAATTACTGGCCAAAGTTGATTATATGGGTAATAGCTCGGGCCTAAATAAGGTATTAATCCATTACGTTTTAGTACAACTTTAATTTGTACCTATACCATCCTGTATAAATTAGTACAACTTCAATTTGACTTTCAACGTTATTGTACAACTTTAACTTGTACATAGAATTGCTCCTTAATTACACGTACGTTATATGTAATGAATTCATATGATCAGCTGCATGCACGTGTGAGTTGCTATTTTCATATGATCTGGATAGATGCATTGATCAGATCTGGTATCTGTGGTCCCTGTTTTTTTTTTTTTTTTTTGAAAAGTAATCTGAATATTATTAATTAAATTGGCAAAGTGCTGTTACAGTCCCTCTCTAAAGTAGGGGTGTTCAAATGGTTTGGTTACCGTGGTAACCGTTTTAACTAGTACTATTTGGATAATTTGGTTTGGTTAATTTGGATAATTGGTTTGGTTTGGTTAAAGTTTTTAGCTTGTTTGGTTTAGGTGGTTTGGTTTGGTTTCAGACACTCCTAACCAGTCAAACCAAATTAACCAGTTAAGTAATTAGTCATATATCTAACATATATTATATACACATAATACTTTGCATAACCACTCAAGAGTTAACGTTCATCCCTTTTAGACTCATAAAATATAAAGCTCAATATTTCTCATATAGTGTATATTTGTATATGTAAAGTCTATACCACAACATATGGACGCCTAATTTAGATAAATTTCATACATTATGATGAATGAAAACTTGAAAGAAATGTCATTTCCAGCCTATGATAATTGCTAAGAGACTAAGTCAATTTACACAAACATAACAATTCATTAACCCATACCATTGTCATAAATTTTTGTTAGATGAATACTTCTATACTAATCGTAAGATAATTGTCTTAGTTGCATGTATTTTTGTTAAGGGTCAACTATAACTACGTGTTGATTGTTATGTTTTATTCATTATATAAATTGCGAATTGTTGCATTAACCGGAAAATTTTCATCATCAATGATAATGTGATTTTATATTGGTTAATCTGGTTAACCAATTAACCAAACCGAATAAACTTTAGTTTGGTTAATTTGGTTATTGTATTAGTTTGGACGGTTTGGTTATGATATTGTATTCCATGGTTAATGGAATTTAGCCTTATTTGGTTTGGTTATAACCATGGTAACCATTTGAACACCCCTACTCTAAAGTGTTGAGAATGAAAATTGGGGGTCTTCCCATCCACATTTCAGTCTCTTCCCACCTGCAATTTGCCCTGTGTTTTGAATGAGGTTTAAATGGAAACATATTAATAACGAAGAACGCATTAAAATATGTAGTTTGGGTCCGGGCATACTATATGTAAATTTGGTCTCCCGAGTTGGATTCGCAGATCAAATTAAAGCTATGAAATAGGTAACTGGTAAATTAAAGTTGGAATTGGCACAATTCGCCGAATTAGAAGCCTTTGCATAATTCGCTTCCGATCTCGATAAAACCATTCAGAATCAATTGGCAAGAGGTTCATATCTAAAGTACGAGATTAAGGAGTTTTTTCTAGTTTTTTCTTTGACTTTTATCTTATTTGTTTCAATTTCAATTTCAAAATTTTGGTTCCAAAATATATCAAAATTGATCTCATTTTGAAGAACGAGCACAATTTATATGATTTTTTATGCAAAAAAATTACAACTTAAAACGAAGGAGAAATATCTAGTTAATATATATAAAGCACAAGTGAGTTTATTGTTGCCTAAATTCACTAGCTGATTGGGCAGCTATAAATTTAACATTTTGATACCCCAATTTAATTTTATTACAACTTAATCATTATAATGTACATTTTATATTTTGATACTCCAAATTTAATTTTAATGTAAAATCATTGAACAATTATGTTTTGGTATCTAAATTTTATGATATTTTCGTACCTACAATTTTTTAAAATTTACATATTTGTCAAATGTTTAGATTTCACTTAAATCCATGAATCCAATTTACCAATCCTTTTGAACCAATCCATGAATCCAATCCATCATAACATAAAAAAATAAATTTAGTTTGTACCATACAAGATGTATCACTCAAATGTAGAAGAGGATTCGACCATTTTATATTTGCTCATTACGTGAAACATTAAATAAATGATAAAAGAGAGACGACTCTAAAATATTACAAGAGCGAGTTTAT